AGCGACGGTAGCGACATCTACCGTGGCATTGGCGAAACCTTATCCGATATCCTGCATATGAAAGTGTTAGCAAATTCCGCTCTTAATGACCGGGAGAAGACCGGTAAGTGATGGTAAGTGAAGGTAAGTGAAGCGACTGCTGTGCCTCGAATTTTTTGTCTTTTTTACTCAAAATTGCACACTAGGTGCATCATTGGATGCACTACCCGGCAGACATGTTTTTTTCCTTAGAAAAAATTCTTCGTCTTTCGGGCCATTTTTGACACGTTTCGTAGCCCCAGATTTCGGGCCGTAGATCTCGGGATTTTGGCGATGCAGAGATTTCGCGATTCGACAGGATATTATCTTAGAGGGGTATACGGGGCACCTGCTGCTAAAAAATCGCGAAAAAATTCGAATGGAATGTCTTTACGGAACGCTATTTATTACGTGCAGGCTTGGAAAATTCGTTCAAAATCGTGCTATAAAACGCCCGTGACACTCCTGACCTCGACCACCTTACTCACGCAACCACCCCTCAGATCTTAAAAGAAAAAAAGCTGATGCTTGCACGATTGAAATGCTTTTATCACGACACACGCAATCGATATGACGCCTACCCGGTTACTTCCATTCTTCGTATTTAGTAATACCTTTCGTATCCAACTCACGCTGGCAGAAACTACAGAAGACGGTTCGGCTATCCGTGTAAGAAAAGCAAGTGTAGGTAAGAAATCATCGGAATGATCAGTATTGAAATGCAATATTAAATCAGATGATTTAGAGTCTGTCGTAAGTGACTTATTAAAATGTTTACTTGTTCCTAAATGAATCGAAAGAAATTAATATATAAATTATTTAAATGAATAAGTTAATCAGTTATTTTATTAATATAGCTTATTTTTGTTGTATTAAGTGAAACAGTATCATTCTAGTTGATCCTTTCCATTACGATCCTAATTATTAATGTTGCCAATCATCCCAAAATCACGCGTTATTGTCAACTAGTTGTCATTTTCGAGTTTCGTTTCGCCCAAAATTCACATGTAAGGGTGTCACGAAAGTTAAGATTCACTTGGAATACAACAGCAGGAAACTTACCCGAATTCCGCGGAATCGAAGTCTTCTACTTCGTCGTACCATGATTGAATATGGAAACGAATCCTCGCGGTGGACGTCACGTTTCCCACGCTGTTCATCTCGAGCACGTGCACGTTCTGCCACACACTGAACCGTTCTACGAAAGAAACACAGAGATCGTTCCTCGGTTCCCATCCTTGCCTTACGCGTAGACCGATTAAACCGAATAAATCGGTTTCGTTCTTTTTCCCCTGTTTTCTGTTTCTCCTATTTTTTTATTTCCACGTATGCGTGGCCGCGCGTGTGTACGAACGTGTACGTGTGTATCGCGTGTAGGTATTCGACGCGGTCGGGTTGCTAAAACTCAATCGTGCCTCGAAACGACCGATTTTTGCCCGACCAAGTATCGATTCCTCCAGCGAAAATAGAAATTCGTGTTTCGTTGATACGATTTCGAGGGTTCGCGTGGATCATTCGTATTTAGCCCGGAGATAAAGCACGTTGCTTGTTGAATCGAGAAGCGTTTCGGAGTAATTCAGAGTTCGGCTTAAATGGATGTAAATGGACAGTCTCTGCCCTGACTTGAATGGTGGAGGGGAATTTTTGGGGAATTTTTGCGAAAGGATGTTCCAATGGGCTTACTGCTCGTCTGTTCTGCTTTATCTTGCGATCGATTTTCTGCAACGATTTCCCTTTTGCCGAGGATATGAGAAATTCGTCGATAATGACGACGAAGTCACATTGGAGAGGATAAAATATATCAATTTTACGAGAAACGTTAGTAGTCAGGATTGGAACGAGTGAGGCTCTGGCAGAATGTCGAGAGTGTTTGGGACATAGGACGAGTGACTGCGTGCGGTTAGATTGTATGAATGGGATATTTATAACTATATAGAGGTCGAGCAACAAGCGAAATATTGGGTCCGAATCTTCAAGTACCTGGTCCACCGAGGGCGAGGTCACGTGGAAACGAGTGATCGAGGAAGAAAGACTGCGTACGGCCCAAACATCCATAAACACTCACCCTTTGGACCCTAGAAATATCCTAATAATTATTCGTAACAGTATTTGAATTTTTCACAGATTTCTGGAATTAATATTTTATAATAAACGATAAATGCCGAAAGAAATAAGAAAGGGGAATAATAACGCGAGAAAAATGACGAAAACGATAACATAAAATGCAGAATTTTTAACCAAAAAATTAAACAATCATTCCTTAAAGTGTGACAGGATAGTGTATTTGAAAAGCCTAAGGAAGATAAAATTATTTCCAAAATACTTGACAGTGCTTCAAAATTTTCTTCCATTTATTAGGAAATCTATGTTACCGTAACGATATTATTGCACCAAAATTACCACGTTATGCCAATATAGCAAATGGCGAATGCCTGCATGCAGAGGCGAGACATGTTCCAAGTCCAGACGTTAAACTCGCGTCGTTCTCTTGCCACTGGTGTTACGCGATTAAAATTACGTTACGATGATTAGAAATTTATGGAGCAGAAGTGTTCCACGAAATTACGCTACCTAGAAAATTAGGTATCCTTGCAGACAGGACTGACACGATTATTGGAGGACGTTTCCTCGGAGATTCGTCAGATGTGGTTCACGTCTGACTGACCTCCGGTTCATTTCGGTCTCGTACCCGGGACTGCCTTAATAAAAGGTATCCTGGTCAGTGAATTGGCAAAAGAGAGGCCAAGTGCATGACCCACATGCTCCACGGTTTTCAATCCTTCGTCCAGAAATTCTTTCCATCCCTGGCATCGCGATCGGTTCGTTCCCTAGGAGCTCGCTGATAGCCTGCGAGATTTCAATTATAAACCCCTCGTTACGCAGTCTGTAACGCACTCGGGAGTTCAGAGTGTGTTCAAAGATCAATTAAGGGACTCCTCGAGGGTCTGGAATATTTTTCTATTACGCCAGGATTGGGTGGGAGGTGATGCTTGTGATTCTATAACGCGTCGATGATTGCCAGCGCGCAAGGAGTCTCGGTGTGTACACGCAGATGTATTTTATTATATCTTAAAGATATATTTTGTTGTATACTTTTATCAACGAAGGTTTAAAAATTGTTTATTAATATTAAGGCATAGCGAGTAAAAGACACGAAGTATTTCGTTTTGCGTTAAGTTAGGTTAGGTTAGGTTACAACGGAAGACGGTCTTCCTGCTATCAGCATCGACCAATCATCGTACACGCAGATATATATACTTTATTATATACTTTTATTAGCGTGGATTTAAAAATTATTTGTTAATATTAAGGTATGGTAAGTAGAAGATACGAGGTTTTCGGATTGGAGTTAGGTTAAGTGAGGTTATATTGCAACACAAGACGATCTTCCTGTTACCAGTCTCGAATCGTACATTCATATTTAGGGAAGGATAATAATCGTAGGAAGCCAATGTATAGTCATCTGAATAATAATTATTCGATAGTGAATAATAGAGTGAATTTCAAAAATTACTTTCATTTTTAAATCATTGTAATTTAAAGCACAATTATATAGACACACTCGTATTTTTATTACATTCCTTTATATTCGATCATTTGTTTCGCTGATCACGTTGATGATCGCTTGTTAATATTTTTTCCCAACATAATCGCTGGTTTGTGAATCGCAATACGTGTTTTTGTAACTAGCATCGCTTTATTAAATTTTACGCTTGTTCCGTCGCGCTTTTATCCCGATTTTTATTTGTTATTCTATTTGTTATATTTATTTCGCGTTGCTCAAGTTGTACTTTACTTTAAATTGGCCAAATCAACGAGCACATTTTTAATAATGAAAAGGTATCCGCGTTGCAAATTAGCGATATATTTATCGCTTTAACCGAGATATTCCTCCACGACGAAACTAATCCACGATTTTAAATGCATTTTTAATTCTTCCTTCCTCGTTCCACCATTTTTCGATTTTCTTTGCTGTATTATGAAAAATTCCAGGCGAAAAGAATGTCGGGACTCGGCGTTTCCGCGAATGGGACTACGTTGTTAATTAATCTTTCGCATTTTCCGATTACTTCGCGCTCGACTCCGCCGATTATGTCAACGAGCACGTGTGGCAAGAGAATTCGAAAAGTCTAATTAAGCGGTGAACGATGAAAAACACGTAAATCCGCACGCAGAGCCCGCGAAACGTTCAAAATTGCCGCGTATCGCGGAAATTAAGAAGAGAAATTCAACGATTTTATTCCGGCTGGAAGAATATTACAGGAAAATTGATCTACAATTTCCGTGTGCTTAACATCCTCGATAAAATCGCTCTACGTTAATTCGTTTTACGGAAAAATCAAACGGCTATTAATATCCGAGGATCAGCCTCGAATCGGGGAGATGAAAAAGGAAGGGAAACAAAACGAGCAAAATTCTACGTGGAATCGAAAAAATTGATAAACGACCCGAGCATTTAGCACGTGATCGTGCACCCCTTTCATCTTTACAGCTCGTCAGATGTGCTGTCACGATTCAACCAGGTATTCCAAAGACACTATCCCGAACGTCGATAATCGTTGGTTCCTCGACGGAACGAATAGGGCACCCAACAGCACCCAAGAGCACCTATCGCGACCGAGCAATAAACCAAATGGAATTTTCTTCTTTTACAAGCAATACTATCGTTTCCCGCGGTTCGAGATTGCAAATTGAAATGAAGCCAAAACGAAGTACGCGGAACAGGAAAAAAGGGAAACAGAGCGGAAGAGAGAGAGAGAGAGAGGGGAGGGATGGATTCGTAAACAGGAAGAAGAAAAATTGAGGTAAAAGGAAGAAACGCACAGACATCGATCGCGTTGCAGGCGGAACAATTTCGCGTTCGAACGTATACCGGTGGATATTGAAAAATGATAGGGACGACTAAGGGGGATGAAAAATGGGGTATATCCGTGGGAGTTACTTGCCAACGTCTCTGCACTGATCTTTCTCGAGGAGGTTGCACTGCACCACCCATCGTCTCGCGATATGGGCAAGTTCGTCATCCCAGATCTGTCGAGATATTAAATGATGGTTAGATTTGGATATGAAAGGAACAATTTAATCGATTTATTAAACCGCTGATTTATTAGCGCTGATTCGGCTGGGAGATTCAGTCGGATGGTTATGGAATTTCATTCACCGTGTCGTAGGGTGGTTTTACTTTCCGATGGGGTGAATTTTACGAACGCGATATAGACGGAGAGTAATATAAAGTCAATCTAGATACTAATTATCGGATGAAGTTTCGTTGTTTATTGTTGCTTATATGGAACGAGGTGTTTTATATGATCGGGGATCAAGAGGAAACGAATCTATGGTAAAATCGGGCATAGGTACGATGGTGCAATAGTTACTTACTCGAGCACTAGATATGTTATAATTATAATAATTAGCTTATATAATAGCTACATATAAATTTATGTATATTTTTATTATATTTTTATATAATAGCTTATATAGTAGCTACATATAAATAAAATCAATTAAGATAAAGATAAATAAATATGTATAATCATATTCCTATTTAATTATGAAAGCAGAAAATTTGAACTTAGTATATACTGTTTATTGGTTTGATGATTCTAGTATTGGTCTGATTTTTTAGTGAAGGATATCTGAATAATTTGTGTAATTTTGTGTTTCTTCGTATTGTTGATAGTGCACCATGCCATTATTGTCATAAATTATTATTGGCTCCCTCGGTATTAAAGATTATGGTATTAGGACTTGGCAAAAAGCGTACTTTCGGGATCGATACCGATTTCAGCCAATATAAGGTAATCAAACTCGCAGACTTTACTTTATTAATCTTGCTTTTTACGATTCCTCCAAATTTCATTTTAAAACGTTCTCCAGTTCACTATTTGCATAAAACGCACGATATACCATAGCTACATGTTTACAATAGAGCTCGTAACTACTCGAATGATGGGGTTTTTATACCGTGCTTTGATATTTTTGCCGAAAATAAGGTACTTCGCTTTTCCGAGAAAATTCTAAACAGAAATTAAAAATTGTAAAATTTACAAAAATGTACGCATCTAAAATTACGAAACTGGAATAAGAAGACAGAAATGATACCTCATACGGAGATTTCAGACGATGAGTAAAGTATGAAAAATATTTGAAACTAAATTAATTTTGTTTATCTAATATACTATTATTATTTATCCTATCTGTGAAGAAATTAACAAATTCTAACCAAGTATAACAAATTTGCATATTCCTGAAAGACGCTATACTATATGGAGGCTCAATGAAGACAACTATTACAACCCCTAACAGTTTACTCGTAACAGTCATCGCTAGTAACCCTGTTTAATAAATTATAACTTTTCCTCGAATCTGTAATACTCAATAGGTGCTTTTTATAGAGCTTACTTTCCTGAACACAAATTTGTAATCGAAATTTCATTATCACACAGTCTTTCAAAAATGTGAATTTTTCTAGAAAAACACGATTACTGTCTACTATACAGTTTTAGTTTATAAAACGTGCATAAATTATCAAAGTTATTATTAATAACAAATTTATATTGTTAATAACAGATTGTCCATAACGTAAATTTATAGTAAAAGTGAAAAAATTAATAAATTATTGGCTATGATTTGAATTTAAAACGCACTAGTGTTAAAATGAATCTTATAATTTGCAAAAAGTTTATAAATTATTACAATGATTGTTAATAACAAATTAATATTGTTATTAACAAATTGCTCGCAACGTATATTTATAATAAAAATGAAAAAATTAATAAATTATTAGCTATTAAAACGGAAAAATAATAAATAATGGAATTGATAAAGTTCAAAAATTTCCGATCGGAGTGGGGGGCTCGGCCGATCAGCGACTATATAAGGAGCGACGCGACGGATCAGAACTCATTTGTCAGTTCGACTTCGGAAGTGTAACATTAAATTTCTCGTGCGCGGAGGGGTGGGGGGTCGCAAGTGAGGTTGGGGTTGGCCACCCCACCCTCACCCCACCCCATTAACCAATTTAATAATAATTTCTTTTTTCTTTTCAGGTTTTAATTATTTTTCTCTTTTCAGATTTAATTTTTATTTGGAAATTCGAATATTTTTTATAATATTCGAATGTTTTGTTGTTAGTTTGTTTATCTCTCATCGTTGGGATGTTTATATCTCATCGTTGGGTAGTTCATGTCTCATCGTTGGATTGTTAATAATTTTTATTCTCAGGTCTAATTTATTTTCTTTCAGGTTTTAATTTCTTTTCCCTCTCAGGTCATAATTATTCTTCTCTTTCCATATTTAATTTTTCGTTTCAATTCATCTTCATTCCAACATTCGAATATTTCGTATAATATTCGAATGTCTCGTCGTTGGTTTGTTTCTGTCTCATCGGTGGCTTACTCCTTCCACTTGGTTAACCTTCATGGTTTCCATTCGTTCGTTTTCTTTCCTCGTACTAATCCGTTTCCTTTCAGGTGTATATTAACAATAATATATTCTGTTTTAGCTTTTAGGTTTCTCAAGATTCTCAAGTTTACTCAAGACTTCATTTGGGACAAATCAATGGACGATGCGGGGTACGTACGTTAGATCTAAGTAGACTTAAGTAGTTCTAAGATAGATCCTTAGGCTAAGTTTCATGTGCGCGCTATCCGTACAAAGGTAAGCTATCTAACTTGGAGCGAATATATACATTTTATAATTTTCCTCCCTTATACCTCTCGTTACCAAATAGAACATAATTGTTCTCGCGATAAACGCGATTGTTCTTAAGTACCGACTAGCCTACGTAACGTACTCTCTTGTACTCGACAACTTTACGTCTCATAAGTCATCCTCACGACTCGTCTCCGACAATCATTTCCAGCCACTGTCAATCTCGTCAAGCATCGAGTTCCCGGGTGGCCCTCGGGTCACTGATTCTTCTGGAATCGATGCGGGGGCCCAGCACCCTGGTCGTACGCGACTGGGGCATGGGCCTGCAGCTGGATGGGCATAGTGTCTACGGTCAGACCACTTGGGATGATTAAGTTCTACCCCTTGGGGCAGGGACACGAAGTGTCTGTCTGGCTTGCAAGGCCCCGCTGGACCCTCGTAACGACTCTGGAGTTTCATTGGTTCGGGGACTATCCTTGGTCCACGTGTAAGTCTTGACGAGTAAGACAGTGGCTGGTCATGGTCTAGGCCCAATCGGGAGGGTGCCGAGGCATGAAGTTGTCTTGTACACGAAAGTACGTTTCGTAGGCTAGTCGGTCTTTCGAATAATCGCGAACTCGTTCGGGCGCGATCGCGATTTTTAACTTGTTCGCGTCTTTCATATCTCCTTCCCTATTTTTATGGGAACTTGGAAATATCAAAGTCTGTTGAAATAAAATATCTTAGCGTTGCGACAGTAGAGTTTTAGTATACCGAATCGAAGTCCCTTTGATAAGACACGAAATTTTATAAAGTGTCAGTAGAGTCATTTTAACTTAATTCGCTCCAAGTTAGATTAGGGTACCTTTGATACAGGTAGCGCCAGCAGGCTGCGCCACTAGGGCGCATGTCGGGTCTCGATGCGTAGCCACCTCCACGTGGTGAGACCTGGTAATTGGTATC